CAGGAGGAGGAGGTGGTGGTGGAGGAGGAGGAGGAGGCACAGGGCAGGAGGCGGGAAAGGGCGGCGTCGGACACACGCGATGGCCTGCGTCTCTTGGACGCGAGCGCCTCTGGAACACGGCGAACCCCTTCTTATCTTTTCGGCGTCGCGTCTTCGGCCTGGGAAGTAGTTCGGAGGAGATATAAACCACCAACCAGCACCAACACCTCCCTTGATGAACTTTAGAAGCCATATCGCCAGGTGTGCTATTGTGTGGAGAGTCGTGTAAAGGAAAAACAACGGCGGTGGTGATGAACGCAACCGTGCGTGAACCACCACCACGCGCATTTGTTTTTTCTTTCTCACCTTCATGGTGGTGAGGTTTCTGATGGGCCGACACATGGCCTCGTTGGCCACCCTGATGAAACCGTAGGCGACCTTCGGGAGGAACGAGCAACAGAGCAGGAGGCGAACCACGCGCGGTCGAAACGGCCGACAAAACGAGAGAGCGCACTTTAATGATCCCCTGCACGGACCGCCGCTTTTGTAATTGGGTGCGATTAACGCAAACGCGTGTGCACCAATGAATGTGCCACGCCGCAATGACGTTGTCAGAGGTAACTTTTTATCGAAACGCACGCGCTACACGGTGCAACAAAGGCGCACCGGCACGAACACACCCGCACGTATCAATCATACACCGGGGCGTTTGGTCAGCGCACCCCATCACAGAAAATCCTTCCTCGCTCCCGATACCCTCCACCCAGGAAAACAAGGAAAAAAAGCGATGCGAAGACCCCCCATGACTCACGTCGTCCGCGGTCTTGGCGGCGGGGGGTGATGCTCCGGTCTGAGACGCCGTCGCCGCGGCGAGAGCGTTGACCTGCTTGGCCATCTCTTCGAAGGCCAACCGGGGTCCCTCGGCGTCGAGAGGCTCGTCCTGAAGAAGAAGAAGAAGAGAGAGGACGACGGGGATACGGATGCACTTTACAACTTATTACCTCGCCTACGGATCCACTCCATTGAGGGTGTGGCGAACCCACGGATGCTGAGTATACACTCGATGGAGGTAACCAATCGATTAAATAACTTATTGCCCGATAAGTGACTCGCAATAGTAGTACGCTGAATCCTCAACTTTGACAGCAGCTGCAGTCAAGTACTGCTGTCCTTGTTGTTGGCCAACCCATCGCGTTCCGGAAGGGTCGTGTCTGTCTGCGCTCGCCGATCCAGCGACCAACCCAAGGGAAAAAACATGGTTGACATCTACAACACTCACTGTCTGTGCGTCCGTGCTTTCCGAACAGCACGTCACTACAGCAGTTGTCCCAAGAGACAAGGTCTCCACTAGACCAATTGGGTGGGAGCTCTGTAAGACCTGACAACAGTCAAGCGTGTTCGTCCGCTTCCAGCGATCGTGCGATACCGTCACCTCGTTTGGAGGACCACACCAACAGCACACAACAGCAGCATGAGCAACAACAACAACAACAACAACGACAACGCCCCACCTCCCCGGGCCCGAATATCTTGGGGAAGTAGCGCGGGATCACGCGTCCGAGGAACACGTTGGCGTCGGTCACGGCCAAGTGGCCAGACTTGCGGTAACACACCGGTCCAGGGTGTGCGCCGGCGCTCTGCGGTCTGTAAAAACGAGGAGTGGCGGCGGCGGCGGCAGCGGCGGCGGTGGCGGCCACCACCGGGCGCGACGGGAAAAAATTGCGAGAAAGACGAGGGGGCAAGAATGACCAGCGGCGTTGTAGAATGTAGAGTGGGGAGGGGGCACAGTAGTCGGTAGGAATTTCGAAAGCAAAATGTACGGGGGGGTGAGTACGAGGGGGCACTACGAGAGGAACGGGGAGGAGTTGTAGCGGAACAGCAAGATCGGTCGAGCAATCAATTGATGTCGAAAGGAGGGAGGGGTTTCGGCTCTCTCGTCCGTCAACTGTCTGATCGAGAAAGTCGCGCAAGCCAGGCACAGCCACTCTCCTTTTCGCACACGCACAGCACCGTACAAGCACCGCTCACAGTGTAATGGAAAACCGCACTCGGAGCCCTAGCCACAAGGCTCCCGTGGTTGTGCCCCAATCAACACACAAAGTACACGCGCACCATGGCATATCCAGCATGCACCACAGAGTCCTTGTCCGTACTCCTGCCTCATCCACAAGTTCCACGATACACCGCTTTCCGAGACTGTTGTGTCCCACGTACCACATACCGTTCCATTATTTATGCTGCCACATCGTATACCGACGTGGGAAAGCGAGCAAAGGCGGCGGGTGGCTCACCCGACGGCGAAAAGGCCGCTGCGAAAGAAGAGGCGAGATCCTCCGCCGGCGGCGACGGTGTTGATGTCCAGCTGTGGGGACTGCAGCGTCACCCCTGCCGTCACGGTCTCGAACACGTGCTCGAACACCCCGGCGAACCGCGACACGTCTTGAGGTTTCCACAGTGGTCGCACGGCGCGGCAGCCGGTCGAGAATTGATAAAAAAAACGGACAGACAGACAGACAGACAGACAGGCAGCAGTAGTTGCAAAGGGACGAACGAGCATGATCCACCAGTGCGCGCCAGGTGGGTCGGCGAGAAAGGAGGAGCGGCCGCGAGGGGGGGGGTTCGGGGGCGGGCGAGGGAAAGGGGACGATAGAACGGGGGTGACCGGAGGTACAGGGCGACTCTTGACCAAAAAGCAAGACACAAACAAAGACAAAGAACGGCTATTTCTACGTGATTGTTGCAGACAGACTAACTCGCTGTTGGAGAGCGACCAAAGCTGTTACGCTTAGGACGGCGGGGCTCACCGGTAGACGTGCCGCCCATGTCGAAGCCGATCACGGCCGGCTTCTCCTCCCTGCCGCCGCCGCCGCCGCCGCCGGTTGCATCGTCGTCGCCGTAGCTGGTCGCGGCGTAGCCCACGACACCGCCGGCCGGGCCGGAGAGGATGGCCCGGCTGCCGCGGAAGCTGGCCACGGGCGTCAGGCCGCCGTCGCTCTGCATGAAGAGGGTCTTGACGTCGTCGAAACCCCGGTCGAAGCCCGAGCGGAAGGAGGCCACGTAGCGGGCGATGACCGGGGTCAGGTAGGCGTCGGCGGCGGTGGTGAAGCCCCTCGGCACCGCCTTGACCATGGGCATCACCTCCGACGAAAGCGACACGTGCGTGAACCCCATCTCTCCGGCGAGCTTGCCCACGCGCCGCTCGTGGTCCGCGAACGTGTAGCTTGATCCCGGGATGTGGAGGTATTGTTGTTGTTGTTTTTTTTGTCGGGGAGCACGAATCAAAACCAAATCACCAAAACGGAGATTCAAGCACACCGCGCGGAGTGTGGGTAGTCGGGGAAAGGGGGGGGGGGGAGGGGGGTACGACCACTGCTGTCACGAAAAAACGAATCGATGTAGACTATAATGGTGGTTTTAATCTATGTCGTTTGATGGAATCGAGAGAATAGCGATAGAGAAGGCTGTCAAAAAAAAGTTCCGCTGTGGCCATGCCGGTAGGTCAAGAAACAGCTTCGTGTTCCACCAGCAATTGGCACACCAGTGGACTTTCTGCGCGGGGGGGTACTTCGTCCGCTATCCATCCGATTTGTGCGCTCACTTGCAAAGGGGTTTAATACCACAATTTGCGGCGTCCCATCCCACCTACCAGAGCCGCCACCAACCACTCTGACCTACCCCCCAACCATAGGCGGCCGCCCCCGATTCCCTACGCTTGAGCCTCAACAAGCTCTTGTGACCCATACAATACGGTTTTGAAAACGTACAAAAGCTCACGCGTACAAAAACAAAATACGACAAGAAGCACGAGGAGGGGGGAATGGATGACGACGAGAACCGACCCTATGTACCCCAAGCTTCACCTGTGCAGAAACACGACGGCAAGGCTGGTGATGCCCTGGTCCAGCACGGCCTGGAGGCTGCCACGCACGGCCGCCAGGTCGGGCTCCTTGACGACCCTCACGCCCTCCCCGGTCACGCCCTGCACCACCACCGCTGCGTCGGCGTTCTTGTCGTTGGTGTCGCTTTCAGACTCCCACCCCTCCTCACCGTTCTTGTCCAGGATGACCCTCTCGTCCACCTCGACGACGGCCTTGTAAAGCAGCTCCGGCCGCCGGATCTCGAGGTCGAAGATGTTCGGGCGGGACTGGAAAAGGGTTGGGGGGTCGGATCGGATCGGATCGGATAACCAAACATGTGGTGTCTGCGTGTTGGCTGGGTACGGCCGGGCGGCTTGGAAGACGGTTTAATGAAAAACGAAACAGAAAGAAGAGTGTAGAATCTTAGGCCGCAAAGTAAGAGGCCAGAGAGAGAGAGAGAGAGAGAGAGAGAGAGAGAGAGAGAGAGAGGCAGACGAGGTCTTGGTCGACAACATGGACAGTAGTTGCAGTACAACACTCGTATTGGTTCGTTGGGTTTTTACCTCCGTCAGTCATAGTATCGGTGTTACGAGATCGCACGTTACAAGCTGGGCCAGCCAAGATGCTCACTTTCGTTGTTTCGTGTCTCATGCTGTCGTTTCCACGAAATAGGCTTGAAATTTGGTGGTTACTCTTATGAGACAATAGGGAAAACGCAGATGCCAGAATTTTTCGAATCCGAGTTGATTTAGGTATTAAACGATCAATTGGCGGCAGTGGGGGATACTTTCGGTACTGAAATCAGCATGAAAAAAGTTTCACAGCATAAGCTGAAATTTGGTGTGCGCTTACCTGGGAGCATTGCGAGAAAAATGATGGTGTAGTTGCAAGGCTCACATCATCTTCCATCAAGAGTTACGGCCTCGAAAAGAATCCGATACAAAACACAAGATAGTTACGGCCATGTGAGGTTATCGCAAAAAGCATCACGATTTTTGCGAGTTGGAATCTGAAATCTTGACATGTGGTTGGTATTGTTAAAACCAATTTGCTAGCCGTACTTTTTAATTTTTAATTTTTTGGTCCTCCTATACACAACAAAAGGATTCCCATTTTTCCTTTAATAGGGCTACCTCATGAAAAACATCAAAAATATAAAAGTACGGCTAGCAGTTGTATTTGTTGTACTAATACGAACCACATGTCGAAATTTCAGGTTCCAACTCGTAAAAATCGTGGTGTAATTGGCTTCCAACCCTTTTGTTAGCTTCTTGGCTAGCCCAGCTTGTAGTGACTATCAGAAACACGTACCGGGGGAGAGGTAGGGGTAGAGGAGGGAAGGGCGGAACGGCAAATGTTCTTCGCCCTTTTCGACACCTTGCGTGCTAGGACCACATACCAGACACCGCTCTTTCTTGGTTTACACACAAAAAGGGTAGAAGCCCCAAGTATTTCACACAAGCACTGCTGTGTAAACTTTGGTCTGTACTGTACCTTTCTAAGCTGCTCGACGGAGACTACCGTGCAAGCCCCCCTCGCACAGACCTCCGGGTTCACCAACAGCCTCACGGCAAGACACGACACGCCCCCCCCCAATCAATGGTCTAACAACTAAGGCATGCAAAACACGAGCCCCCCCCCCCTCCGTTCTTCCACCGTGCCCCAACACACCTGGTTCCCGATGTAGAGCAAATCGCGGAAACCCTTGGTGATGACCAGGGCGCACGGCTCTCCCTGCCTCTCGAGCAGCGCGTTGGTCGCGACCGTCGTGCCCATCCGGATGTATTCGATGCGGGACGTGTCAAGGGGCTCGTCGCGGGGGTGTGCCACCCCCGTCTCTTCCTGTCCTCGGTCGCGTTCCGCACCAGAGCAGAAAACACACAGAAGCCAGAGCAGCGTAAGACGGGCGGGGTGCGGACGGAAATAAAAAGACGCCGCTGTCGCTGTGTCATTGTAAAACGCGCTTTTGTATCGTCTTATTTTTTTCTTCTGGTTTCATGCCGTTCAAATACAGAACCTACGTAAAAGGGATAGTCGGCGGGTGGCTATCAAACGGCTAGATACAAGGCCTTCTGCGTGGGTGCGATAAGTCTATATCGTGGCCTGGGTGAGTTTGAACGTTGAACTGTGTCGTCGTGTTCGCGCAACGTTTAGACGTGTGTCTGTGCCCTGGGCTCTGTATGAAGTATGTATCATCTTGATAACACACGTCCCTGGTCGACAGCAGTCTGCGTATCACCCACCCATTGCTCTGTAGATTCCGAGCCTGCTGAATAGCTTTATTTAGTGTCGCCGCGTTTCTTCGAAATTTCTGGCGGTGGTTGCCATCCTTTGTTAAGCACGGATGGAGAAAGTGCGAGAGAAATTTCGGCGACGATAAGTTAATTGTTTCAAAAGCAAGCCGACGAATATCGTCGGCGTGCTAGTCCCAAGCTCCCCCTTTTTTTCTTCTTTCTTGCGTCATGCCGGGCACACCTTATCCACCAACGAAGGAAAACAACAACACACGTTCCACTTGAGAAAACAACGGAGAGTCACGCGTCAGGGGCGGGGTTCCGCAGTCTGCAACTGACGCAAACGGAAAGATATTGTAACGAGGTATGCATACCCACAGTATCTTGAGCCAGCAGAGTCCAACCCGAAGAAGCTAACCCTAACTAACACCGACCCTAGCCACAAGTCGTCTTGTAGACGCATGAAAAACTAGTTAGCATGTTCGGCTGGAGGGTCTGATACACATGTCGCCCGAGCGCTCCCGAAAAGAACAGCTGCGACCGGCCCTGAACGGAGAGAGGGGGCACTTCTCAGAAAGCCCATCCATGCGTACAGTAGGTGGCCCAATGTAGTGGCAACTTGAATAGTGAACTGCCCATATAGTGGCATCAAAATCTCTTGTCACAATCTCGACATGTTGTGTACATGAACCCGATATATCGAATAATGGCCCTGCCCTGAATAGTGGCATATTTTCCCCTGCTTGCCCCTACATGCCACTATATCGGGTCACCTACTGTATGCACTTTTGTTGCGAGGGACTCGATGCTGTCAACAATCTCCTCGCTAATGATGCTCGCTGATGATCTGTCCAGTACGCACTACTATCACACCCGAGTGCAGAAGACCAACAGAACGCGGACCGACCGGTAATAATTTAGTCCCTCTCACTCGGCAGAACAAAAAACGTCCGGCCGAACTTGCACGTATTTATTTGTCGTCACAACAAACGTCAACCCACATCATCAATGACGCACAACGCAACATCACGATTGGCATATTCTATTCCGCTTGGCGTTGGAGATGTGCAACGCTACGGGAGCAATAGGCGTAAACCGTAGGGGGCGGAATCTACAGTGTGGTGACAAATGTAAAAAAAGAACATGACCAGACAAGACCAGACAAACAGGCTATAACCACCACGGACGAACTACTGCACCTCAATAACCCTGCCGTCCGTGTTAGATGCGCACCGCTGCACGATGGGTGGACGGGGTACCCCAAAAAACAAAGCATGAACAAAAAAAAAACATAGAACAAGCACGAGCGAGGCCAAGAGAGTGAGCCAGGCCCGACAGGCTTCGGAAAGGAGGCGGAAGAGAGCATAGTATGTCGCCGCTCTGAATACCCGGAAGCTGTCACATAGGCACTGCAGCAAGCATCATGATCATGCCCATTCCCTGGCAGCACCCATTGTCTCCCATATACAGCAGCCGGATGCACGCGGTAGCCTCTTTAGTCTACTCAGGCAGCAAGATGAAAAAAATCAATCGCGGTTGGCGTTGTCGTGGGGACCCCACCGGCGAAAGGCGACAGCAGCATTTGAGACCCTGTCGGGCAAGGGGTGGGCTATGCGAAAGAAAATGACAGGGACAGAAAAAGTGTATATAGATCGATATAGACCAAACTCTACCGAGCTTGGGAATGTACATAGATAGATGTTAGACGTTACTGAGCAGAGAACGAAAAATACCACAACGATCCTGGTCGAACCCAGCAGTGCCTGCACCGCTGCTAGCAGATGGAATCTTATTGTTGGTGGAGACCATGACTTGTTTTTCGCGCGAAGAAGGTTGAGACGAGCTGACGCGCACCCGGAAATAACAACAGTCTTCGACCGGCCCTCAGCGGAGAGAAAGAAGAGGGCACTTTTAACAGCGCCCATCCATGCGTATGCACTGTTTGTGGCGAGGGAGTCCACGCTGTCAACAATCTCGCTAATCGTGCTCGCTGATGATCTGGCTGGTTTGCATACGAACGATCACGATCACACACACCCGAATGAAGAAGACCATCAGAACGCGGACCGGTAGTTAAGTCCCGCTCTTTCGATACGAACCAAATACCCCCGGGCGAACTTGCTTTTATTTGTAGTCACAAGAACATCATGACATAATCCTGATTGATTGGCGTACTATTTCGCTTGCCGTGGGGGATGCGCATCGCTACCGAGAGCGAGGAAGGCGTTAACCCCTCGCATAGCTTCCTACTATGCACACATGAGTGTGCTGCCGTCGACCCTATCCCTCGAGCTCACACACAGCCATACCCGACAAATGAAAAGAAACAAATCCTCCGACAAAAACTGAAATTAATTGATGGGTGGGCCAGGGCGGGCCAGGGCGGATGGAGGATGGAGGACCCCAGAAAACAAGGCATGAGTACAATAAACATGTGTATGCATTGTACAACCATGAAAGAGAGCCAGACCCAACAGGTTTCGGAGGGGAGGCGGAGGAGAGCATAGAAACAGCACTCTCGCCACTCTGAACCCCCGGAAGGTCTCACATTGACACTGCCGCAAACATTATGGCCACGCGCATTGCCTGGCAGCGCCCATCGTGTCACATGCAGCAGCCGGGTGCACGGGTAGCCTCGTTCACTCAGACAGCAACAAACAAAACTACGGAATCTGCGGACGGATTTTTTCTTTCTTCGTGGACTTTCTTTGTGGTAAAATGTTGTAGTGACAACAAAAACAATGAACATGGCTAGAAGAGACTTAAGCACCACGGACGAACTTCCTCAAATACGCCTGCCTGCCGTCCGTGTTAGATGTGCACCGTTACAAGAAAAGCATCGACCGTTCTCATTGCTACTACGTGTGTACACGAGTAAAGATTGTGCTGCCATCGACCTTATCGCGCTCAAGTTCCCAATTACGTACGCAGCAAACATGCATGCTTGTGTGTGGCGGACCGTATGTGTTGTTAGTCTTTGTCTCGAACTGTTGTTGTTCATGGATGACGACACAGACAAAAGAGCAAGATACGCGCATCGTTACCTATAGGCGAGCAACTCGCTGCCTACGCGAGAAACGCGCGCAACTTGCAGAGACGATTACCTTACGAGCTTTGCAGCACCCGCGTTTGCAGCACATTTCGAGCATCACTCAGCAAGAAATATACACACACAAGAAGACAAATAAAAAAAATATATGGAGGATTGTGGCGCGCAGCATGCAGGACCCTATTTCTCTGTTCAATCGGCCGTTCCCATGGCGACACAGACGAGGAACAGTCAAGGCCGAGTCGTGTCGGTCACACGAGGTGGAAGCTGCTGAAACTCGGGGAGAAGTCATGGTTTGCGATTCCCTACCGAACCATCCTTGAGGCGCCACGAGATTCTCACTGTGGCTCGAGAATAGCATTTGAGACCGGGTCGGGGAAGGGGTGGGCTATGCGAATGAAAATGACAGGGACAGAAAAAGTGAATTTAGGTCGATAGAGACCCACGCTCTACCGAGCTTGGGAATTGAAAAAGAGAAATCGAGATGCAGCGAAGAAAGGCAGCAGAAAGAGTGCTGCGCTCTCAGGGCTCGTCGAGAGAACGGCGGAGAAAGGTCAAAAGAAGCGGAAAATTAGTACGTCAGAAGACCAGGACATACAACCTGGGGCGCCTTCCATACACAGTCGTGTGCCCATGGGTCCAGTATTGCCCGAAGACGAAAGCCCTGCTAAGCCCATCCAAGTCACTTCTACTAAATTACGGGCGATTTCACTTATCAGATTGAGTGCCCAATGTCGGGATCCCTGGGGTTCGGCGAATCCGATTGCGCTCATGAGTAAATATATTGGGTGTCGGGACACGGGGACAGGGAAGCCCCCATTTACCACCCGCGCCCCCCCGCGCGGGTCAAACATGGAATGTTTTCCTCACTTGATGTTGAACAAATACGGTGTGCTCAGTTTCCATGCCCTTGGGGGTTAGTTTTAAGCGTAGATCGCATGTCTGGAGAGAGTCGAGAGAGTCGAACCCACTTCATTCAATTGTCGTGGTTTGGGAAGCAAAGCTGGTGATCTCGGTGCTTGAGGCGCCCGAATTGAGAAAGAGCGGGAATATGCATTTTGGTCAATTTTGTGTAAGTCGTCAACCTCCGATGTGACTAAAGAATATGAGCCATAAAACTCCTAGAGTTTGGCGTCGAGCGACCTAGCAATGGATTCATGTCAGACTCGTTCGCCCCAGCTGAGTGATTGGCGTTGTGATCATGTTGTCAAATTGCAATGATCCTGTGGTTTCCACCAGATGCCGCCGCAACAAAATTGGTCCTAAAGTTGCTAAAAGTGGCAAGTTGCTTTCTATTGCAAATTGATTGCTTGGCAATTTTTGGACCTAGACCCATTGTTTTTTTGTTTGCTTCCGACGGAAACTCTAGGAGCTACAGAGGAGGGCACTCTTGACTGGAAGGTGTGCGGGTCGTTTTTGCGGGTCATTTCTGCGGGTCTTTTTCTCCGAAACAGCCCCACCCAAGCACATTGCGAACGAGCCAGGACTTCGACCGAGTACCGGAGTATCCAAGCACACCAGTGCAGTTAGTGGGAGTGCCTACACTCATGGGCGCAGGCCCGATGGCCGCGGAGTCACCTTCCGATACACCGGCAGCGGGGGCGAGACGATCTACTACACATGAAAAATTCCCGGGTAGAATACAATATTTAAGATTGACCCTTCACCACGCGCACCAGGGAACCCCGCCTCACTCCTCTTCTTCGCGACGTCCACGGCAAAAAGTGTTTCCAGCCCGACTCCAGTGTCGCGGGATCGAGTGTTGATGCGCGAGGCCGACGCGCAGATACCATTAACCACGACCCAAACCTGACACATTTGCGTTCCTGCTCAAAGAAATTCCCACACCACAATTTATTGAACCTCATCACCCACAGCACGTGGTAGTGCGAACCTACCAATAACGCATGCAGTATTCCGCGTGTGCACACGCATGGATGGTTGATAATAATGGCCACGCAGACTCCATTGTACGTATGATTGACTGCGAACTACTGTATACAAGGGGATCCTTTGCTTGTGTGTGTGTTGTGTGTTTCCTTCGCTCACACGTCCTTCCCTCGGTTGGTAGACTTGGTTGGTAGACTATATTGTCGAATCTGCTGTACCTGGGTACGTTACCCTACCAAACGCGCCCTCGCCACCTTTCACCGTCCACACAGGGTTCGGACAAAACACATGCAACCCGCTGTAGCGATATTTTATGAACTTCTATGTTTGCCTTGCCCTGCGAGCTCCAACTGGGTCGGAAGCCAGCAGCCGCGACAACGGCTCCTTGGTTCAGCTGGCACCAGGCGCAACAGCAGCAGCAACAACAGCTCCTGGTTCAGCATATGAGAAGCACCCAAGGTACCCGAACACACTCCTCACCTCAAGGATGCGCCTCACCCCCTCTCGAGGCGCGTCCGGGTAGTTTTGTGGGTCCTCCGAGAGAAGCTTGAGGACGCGGAAGCCCTTTGCCCCTGGCACCTCTGCGTACACATCTGTGAAGGTACCTCCTCGATCAATGGAGAACCGAAAGGGCCGCCGATTGATTTCTTGGCTTCCACCCGATGCTCCCGCTCTCCACTCCATGATGACAATACTGCTGTACACCTTGGCACGGCAGGAAGAAACGCGGCGTGGGGAGGGCGTTTTGCTCTAGGTGCCTCGCAAGATAGGGCAGGGAGGTGCTGCTTTCGCAGCCGTCGTCACCTGTTGAAGATGATGCAGTCGTGCGTTTCAACATGAAGGCGCAGTCACCTGCTGTGCGGGCTCCCTCTATTCGGTGGTAGAACCGTGCTCGACTTCTATACACTCCCAACACACTTCGTGTGTCGGCTGGGGTCGGAGGAATCACGGACACTGGCCAGCTGCTTCTCTGTTACACACAGCAGCAGCAGACAGAGTGGAGTCACACAACGTGTGTGTGTGAACATGTAGGGGCTCCGTGGTGGGGACAGGTCTAAATCCACCGCATTTTTTGACAGTCCCGTTTCGTACGCATATCTAATGATCAAATGTTCAGCTGTGATGTCCACATGTTCACACCACACACCACCGCGCTGCACCACACAAACCGTCGCTGTACACACGATGCACGCGGACGCGTCTACAGCAGCAGTAACTATAGTACTTGTGGACGCGTGTAATACATAAATAAATCCTGGTGACCTGATCTGTTGGTCCATGCGGTGGTTGGCATACATGTGAAAATCGAAAGGACTGGGATCAAAATCAGTTGCATTTTGCTTGCATGTATCACCGTAGGTGTGTGAACAAATCGCGACCATCGGCTTATTTGTTCGTATCGTAGAGTCTTATCTATGAACCGCTAGCCATGCCGCACCAATACACAATGCGGCGTGGTCGGAGGCGTTCGCGCTTGCTCCCCTTCCCTCATCATAGAAAGGCCGCCAAAATCTACAGCAAGGCGGGCACCACGATGGCACCTTCAGAGAGTATATCGACTGTTGTTGTGTCACACAAGTACTTCTTCACTTGCAAACATCATTCGCCTCTCCTCCCACCACAAGTCAAGAAGAAGAAGGCAAAACATCAAGCCGCTGCTGTGCGTTGGAAACAGACTCGTCAGAAAATTTGGAAGCTCCCCCCACCCCGAAACTAATCCCCACCCCGAAACTAATAACAGCGCCAATGTTTTCTCAATAAATCAAAAAGGGGACAAGTAAGTACAGCCCTCGAGCGCTAGGGTGAAACTCGCGTCAACCATGGTGTCGACACCAGCGCCCGAACCTCTGCCATGTCAAGGAAAACACCTGCTTAACCTGCCTCTTGGAAAATCAACCTCTCCTTTTTTGAGAAGGGGCACTCCCTCCTTCCAAAGGGAGCGTGTCCTGAGACCTCTTTGGCCTTGCTCGAGATCTATGTTCGGGAAACACACAAGCATATGATCTTTTCATTGGTCAGACGATAGCGCGGCCAAATCCAATCGGCACCTGATGAGCACATACACTTTTACAGGGCAGCTATGAAAAGTAACTTCAATAAAATCACAAAAAAAGGGAACCTCTGGGTGCGAAAGAAAGTGCTACAACCTCCATTTCTCAGAGTAGGAGCAATTGGCAGGTGTCTGTGCAATGTTAATTATGATCTTTATGACGACAATTCCGAAGGCCCGTCGACTCAATCGAGTCGTCTGAGGATTGAGATTCTCCTTTCTCGTCATTAAAGTCTCGTTTCCGAAAACAAAATTTGTGTCGTTGTGATGTGCAGCTCGCTGAGGCGCCTCCATGAATTCCGGTGGCCCTCACGCTCGTAATCCTCGTCCCCTCCGTCGCCTGTTCTCCTTTGCCATCTCTTGAACCTATACAAGCGGCTGGTTGAGAGACCACAGCGCAGGTAGGTGCCGTTTCGCATAGAACCTGTGGTGGGCAGAGACGGCCGTAGTACGGGTTTCGAGGGGCGACACTCTTGGGTAAGCTGTGTCCAGGTGAGGATGAGCGGGTCGCGCGCAAGAACAGCAGTTCAGAAGGTCTCGCGTGTTTTGTTTCCTACAGGACAACAAGCACGGCGTCTTCGACTGGTCGTCATTGCTAAGCGAAACTCACGAAGACTCCAGGGTTGTAACACTCTCGTACACGTATAACCACCGGCTGAGCCTCAGCTGCAGTACAACGTACAAAGGGCGAAGAACACGGTTTGTGGAGCACTGAAGTACGCAGGTTGGACACACGTATGACAGAGACCCTCCAACTCAGAGTGTGGAAGGCCCCTACCCTTTGGTACTAAACAAACTGCCGCATCTAGTCGATGTTGTATGCATACGCCTACCGTACGATTATTTTCGTTCCGCTACCAATCAGGAAACTGCGTGCCACCTTCCCTCCCTTTCGTGTTGTTACACCCACGTATGTACACATACATCGCGCTTATTTTCTTTGCGATCATTCAAGGAACTGAACACCAGGCAAAGAAGATTTCGCTGACAATATTTCCAGGGAATCCGCTGAGGCGCTGGTTCTCCTTCGCCGTCTTCGCCGTCGACGACTCCCTCCTCACCTCCCAATGATGCCTACATCTCGCCGTCTCCCCCACGGCCGCGGGGCAGGAGCTTCCACCCTCCCGAACCTGACGGGGTAGCCGCTTATCTTGAACTGACCAGTCAATTGTAGGCCTGTAGCAGTGTATGAGGGGGGGGGGTTGATCCTAGTGTTGCTTTGTTGTTGCTGGAGTCAGGTGTTTGCACAGCAAATTGAGGTGAGCAAGGTGTTCGCTCCAGTCTCACGGCTGCCCAGCCAATAATGAAGCAAATGGGCGGTTTTGGGGGTGGTCGTGCGCTCCCACCGCTTCCCCCGTGCCTGAAGCCGCGGTAATTGTCGCCCGCCAAACCAAGAGTTGGCGTGGAGTGCGTTCGTTGGGTTGGTAGCAACAATTGACAAGGAAAGCTACGAGTGGGCGAGAGAGAGAAACTTAATGCTTCTCTCGAAAAACGCAAGGTATTTCGGTGTGGCTACTTTGTCGCAGGAAGCCAGCGACGAGACCACCCTTGGGCGTGTAGCGTCAAGGACGGTATCGGCGACACAGTAGTTTTCATGCTGTTCAGACGAGATGGAGTGCTACAGATGCATTTGACGTGCGTACGCAACCAACCGCCATCGGCGGGGAAACATTCTCGTGTCGTATCTCAGGTTTGTTTCAAAGCCAGTACGTTGGACTCCTCGCAGCCCGACGCTCATTTATCCGTCTCGGCGGACACCAGGACAGACCAAGCGCAACCGCGGTGCTTGTGCACACAGCAGTGCGAAAGTCAGTAAGTGTACGCTAGCCCCGGATCCCACCATAATAACATGGCAGGCCTCTATCGCCATCTCCTCGCGCCAAGCTGTGTCGATCGCGTGCAAGTGGGCCGTCGGTGACGCTGAGAAGAAGAGGACGTGCCTGACACGTACGAGGCTCGGCTATCAACGTCATTTTGATCGCCGAAGACCAAGCTTGGGCCGCAAACGACGAGGACGGCAGGCGGAACTGGTATAGTAACTCCAGTTTTCGCCCCGAACCCTGGGCCAAGGTGTACTCGTCAGCGTGCTGTAGTTAGTGTTGGCGGCGGGGTTTTGAGGTAAAAGTTCCGTCGAGTTGCCTGGTTCAGTTCGTTGTTTTTTTTCCATACAAGAACGCACGCGTACACGTTTCACCTTATCGGTAGATTGCCATCCAAGCCCCATTAACTGGCGAAGAGGAACTGCAGTGTATTCAGCAGTCTTTGGGCTTCCAGTGTTATGCCATTCCTTGCGATCGATCAGTCTTGGTGGACCCCGTGTTGTGTTTATCGAAACGTACGTGAGAGACAAAAGCCGCGCTGAGCACGGGGACAAGTCTTGCCGGCTTATTAGTAGGAGTCACGATGGGGGTAACTGCATGCAGCTGACTTCGGGTGATGTGTCCGTAGGAGATTCAATACGGTGTGTAGACGGTGATTTCTGCTTAGGTGGTATGCAAATACGCCGAACATGTTGGGAGGTCAGTGGAGAAACCTCGATACGGCCAGTTGCGTCACAACGTTCTCGCGGACGGTTCAGGAAACGTGCGGCTGAACTCGTGTGTAGATCATGGAACGCACGCAACGAGGTGGGCCGGCAAGGTATGCGAGCGTAGCGCGGCCGAGCCATGCTTACGGCCCAAACCCAAGACACTCCCGGGTCAAGATCTGTTGCACCCTCCGTCGTGGAGGCGGGAGGAAAGAAGTAATTTTAACTTTTCTGTGAGTCTTTGGGTCTGGGGACCCGAACCACACGTTGACGGGCGGTAAAAGGTCACATTCATTCATCTATCTCCGCAAACGTCTTCTTCTAGGACGATTCCCTCATTTCCAACGAGCTTGCATGGTCATCTAGGGTTCCGTAGGAGCTTTCTCTGTGATTCCCTTGTGAATATTATTTGTTCTTCGCTGCTGGTTGTTGTGGGTTATGACCCCCAACTTTTTTATAGGAGTCGCTATCGTTCGCCCACTTGCCTATCTATTCTGGCTTCAAGCAAGATACCGAACTTACGTACCTCACGTCCGTCAAGTTTCCTCATCTTCCCCCGAGGGCTTCCTGTCTTATTTTGCCTCGCCACACGGGCGTGTGCCGCTGGGGGGGGCAGGGGTTCTCTCCACCCCCCCCGTCCATTTTCCTCGAACATGATGCCCAAGATTCAGGCACCCGGCGAAGACGGAACACCATGCGCACTCGATATTTCACAATCTCGTTGCATAACATCAGTGTCTTTCCGGCTTACCCTCCCATATACTGTAGACCACGGACTGCTTATACGCAAAGAAAGCAAGACCGGGGGGGGGGGGGCACGCAGGTCCTAACCCAAACCCTCGTAAGTACACATAGTGTGAATAGTACAGACATATGAGATTGGTGAGCTTTCGCTGGCAACTCTCTCTCAGCATCCCATGTACACATACATACATACATCGATATTGTAAGAATGGCGGAAACTGGCGGATATGAGGGTGGGCGACCAGTAACTTTGTTACAGACCCTCACGCATACATGGACTGGCGTACATTGTTAGGGTCCTCGAGCATAAAGCCTGATGTCAACCAGTCAAAGATCGCGAAACGACCCAACGGTTCGCCATCACAGCAGTAGTAGTTCATTTTGTCTCGGATTTTACAGAACAGGGCACCTCCTTCTCTACCGCCTCTGCACACCATCATGGACTATCTTGATTGGTTGGAAGAGGTCCACAACGTACGTTGTTCTCCCTCCGAAAGGTCAAACACACGGTTTTCAAACAGAGCATGCATAGCCGTGACTCAAACTTCCGATCCTTGCGTGTGCACGCCGAGACTTGTACGTCTATGAATCGTATAGTGTGAGCAGTACATGTGCATAGTCTACAGGAGAATATCATCCCCATGTCGTTGCCGCACAGCTTTGCGCACGGACTACCCTGAGTTTTCGTACCACATCATTGACATGTATATTGGAAGTTCTCCCCCCTTTGTTTGACCGAGGTGGGGGGCAAAATTTTGATCGGTGCCGTTCTCTTCACCCTTCGAATTCCGTGTCGCGGTGCACCCAAAGCGGGTCAGCCGGTCTCTGGTCTCGGTGTGACGGTGTGACCCACGCTTCGGCGTTGCGGAATCTCCCCGCAACCCGGGAAGTCGACTTTGGCCAATCAGAGGTGGCGATCACGAGGGATCACGGTATTTTACATTTTTTTGAACGCGGGACTGGCACTCCAAACTCTCTCTTTTTCTCAGCTTCTCCCCCCCATCGTCACACACATCACCCCACACGCCCCCACACGCCGCCACCCAGCTCGCGAACACACCCTTATCTCTCTCGGCCCACCTGCAACCCCTGAGAGGACAAAAGCAGTCAGTGCACACTCCTCCGTTCCGAGCACCATGGCTTGTTCCGCTGCCCCTTGCTGCAATGCTCCGAAGAAAAAGTCGAAGATTGCCATTATCGGCAGCGGCGCCTCTGGGCTGACCGTGATGAAGGAGCTCACGGCCCTGGGACACGAGGTACGGATGCCGATGAGAGGAGAGGTAGACGTCGTAGCAGGAACGCGGGGTTGCTCCATGCTGAGGGAGTCGTGCGTGAGCAACAGATGGAGAGAGCCGACGGCGAGACACCATCGGTTGCGTGATCCAGCGTGATCCCTTAGGTTGCTGGCTTGGGGAACTTTCCCGGATCGTGATGAAAAAAAACGGCTTCCTCTCCCACAGGCCATCATGACACGGATTGCCTGCGCGCGTCTTCGAGTGCGCGCCTCTCTCCCCCTCTCTGGTTCCTCGATCACCCGCCGCGATGGGCTCCTGACGTTGGTCGTCTATGCTACGTGCTTTCTTTGATCCAGGTGGTTTGCTACGAGTGCCTGCCGGTTATCGGCGGAGTGTACGCGAAGTCGTACGACCACACCACCCTCACCACCAGCAGGTAAGCAGCAGGCACCCAACGGGAGAAGGATCCGTAGACTCGCGCAGCGTTGCCCGGGCATCGTGTGCCGCCGTGGCACACCAAGGGTTACCGCCAAGGCCACGCCTGACCTGTGCATCAGCTGCCATACGTTGTTGGCGTCTGTCGGTCTTTTTTTACCATGTAGTGTAGTGACCTGCGCCGCCGGCATTTTATAGTGATGAGCAGCACCACACACAGAGAGAGACAGCACCAACCAGTTTTACACGATTTTTTGCGGAGGATTAGCGTGGTTCGCTGATGACTCCTCGGCCTGGTGTTGTGCTCCTCACGTTGCCCGTGGGCTTCTGGAGTAGCCACACGATCACGTTCTGTACACCCGCAATCTCTTGGAAATGAGTAGCCCGTGCTCGCTGCACTGCGATCTTTACACTTGTGTTGTTTGTTCCTCGTCTGAGAAACGCTGTCGGCAGTGCCGAGTAGTATACACTCACTATGTGTGATCACGTCACGGACTAATGTGCGTGTGCAATGTGCAATCATGTATGCATACACCACCGCTTGTTCCTGTCTTACAACAGCAGTCATGGTGAGATTATTCCTATCTAATGGTGTGGGTAAGAGGCAGTCTACACGCACGCCACGCAATGGATTTTGCACAGAGTGTGCCGAATGAGTTGGTGCCGCGTGCTGGGCGGACAAAACACAAAACACAACCGCTGCAAATCCCTTGGTATTGTATACCACTACAGCAGGTGCACAGCAATGAAAAAGCATGATCTTGCGCACACACCATAAATAGACGGTACCGTGGCCTACTGCTGTACAGGCCTACAGGATACCCAATGTATTTATGTACAGATATTTCATGCCATTTTGTGCTCATCCGGCACGGGGTAGTTGCGATAATGTCATCCACCGATCGAATCGGCGCACAAACACAAAAGAGCCAGCCGAGGACTTCCTCCAACCATTTCCGTTATACATGGGTTATTTGGTGTAGCGTCAGTCTCTCGCGGTTGGAATGGTCGAATTGAATGTATGCGTATCACCTGGAACGTTATTCCACCCCCGTGACGTGACTGCTGTACAAGTATATTGGGTGATGCTCCAAACGCGCGGCTCCACTGCTGTTTGCTGTCGTGGAATCATCGATTGGATGGCACACCTGTTGCGTGTTTTATCTCTCATCACTCCCGTTTTCGGCAAGCGGTGTGCTGTTTCGTTGTTTGACCATTTATCAACTAGTCTTGCTTGCTCGATGGCTCCAGCCACATGCATGCCGCAGGTTGTGCGTAAGAAATCTCACCCTCCCAGAACCAATTTTTAAGTTCGGTTTACTCTGCAACAACCTATGGTGAGTGTACTGTATGCTGACAAAGGCGGCACTGGAACCCTCTCGTCGGGAGCTTTTCCAAGTTTTGCATGACTGCTGCTGTGGCATCCTCGTCCGTCATGGGAGTGATTTGAGGTTTGACAATCGGTCCAGGGTATATTGTGGAAGGCACAGCAGTACCTCGAAATGACCTACGAAGTACATCGTTTTCACCTCTCGAAGCTGTTGGCACCTTTTGCTGTAGCCCGCAGAAAACTCCATGTTACCCTGACGTTGATGCATTTTTTTTCATCCGTGCTTCCGACGGTCGGTTGTCGTTCACAGCTGCCTGACCGCGTACTCGGACTACAGCGACGGCCTCGAGCACCGCCCCAAGTTCTGGAGCGACACGGAGTACCTGGCCTACCTCGATGGGTGAGAGAGACTGCCCAAGTGCAATACTATTGTTGGTGTCTCGTGACGCGAAAAAACGTTTCGGAACATGGACGAAATATGCAGTTGCTGCGTGAGCGATCGATAGCCTTTTGTCATTGTTGCCGTATGTGGCAGGTGCATGTAAATGAACTGAGGGTCTCCTTGGGTTTTTTTCTTACTGTACGGTTCGCGGCACAGCGGTGCAATGACTGATATCTACCTGATGCACGCCTCTCGAGGTTTACTGCCCCCCCCCCCCCCCCTAAAATACCCCCGTGCTGCCTTCCAGTGCACCATCTTGGGAGATGCACAATACCGCGCTACTGCTCGTACTGCGTTCGCGATGTCCGGCCTTGTTTGAGTGGCCAACCACATCAGAGATCCTACCAACTCGCGAAAAGGGACATCAGCGCACGCTTCGTTCTCGTCAAAGTCGGTGAGCTTCACGCTCACAGGCAAGGGCACACTCCTCCCCCACTCAATTCCGTACTCTGCAGCCAACTCTTCGGCAAACCTCTGCTGCGAAATCCTCAACAGCCCTCTCTCTACGTCTCTCTCGTAAAAGCACGCGGAGTACCACCTCAACTCTCCAAGGTTCTTCACGGGGACCATCTCGTTGAGATCCCTGCCCAACTTGTCA